TTGAACATCAGACCTAGCATCCTTTCCCAGACAATCATCCCACTAAAACCCCACTGCCACAGGGCATCTTTGCTCCTGTCGAGGGCTGAAGACTGACCAGTTTTGTAACTAATAGTAATCTCCAGATTAACAATGACAGATTTTGAGCGCACAGGAGGTTAAAGGGGTAGATTCAAAACTCTAAAACTCAAATACAAGTCTGTTGTATCAACAGATATGTAGAAAAAAGAGATCAATTTCATACAGAGAACTATAGTGAAAAATTCATTTCTATTTTCTTGTCTCAAAAAACCAAAAACAACCCCTTTTCCATGTTTCAGACTCTCATTGCATTAACAAATGTAACGTTCCCTCAGTTTATTCTATTATTCAACAAAATGTTACCCATTTTGAACCTTTTTGTTATATATAAAATGGATAAGTGCTTTAGGCATACAAAAATGTACCCATAAAGACTTTATTTTTCTTTTTACCTTTAAAAAAATATCCATATCACTGTCATTGACATGGTGAAACATTTCACATTTACGGCTATCACAGTGAAAACATGGGGGCAAGGAGGTTTGTATATTTACAAAATTCCTATTTATAGCATAAAATTATAAAACCATAAAGTGTAAGGGTTGGAAATAACTATCCATCCACTTAGACTTATATACCACTTTTTAGTGCCTTACAGACCTCTCTAAGCGGCTTACAAAGTTAGCATATTGCTCCCAACAATCTGGATCCTCGTTTTACCAACTCGGAAGGATGGAAGACTGAGTCAACCTTGAGCCATTCAGGATTGAACTCTTGGCAGAGGACAGAGCCACCCTGCAATACTGCATTCTAACCACTGTACCACCACGGCTCCTGGAGGTCATGTAGTCCAACCCAGTACAGAAAGCAATTGTTGTATCTTTCCTAGCAGATAGTCATCTAGCTTCCACCAATGAAGGTCCAACCCTCCTCAAACAGTCTGTTCTCATGTCAAAAGCAGGGAGCAACTTACTGCTTTCTGCTGCTAGTACTTTATCACTAAATGTTAGATACATCATCTCATTCCCAAAATGCATCCCTCACAATGCAGAATAGAGAAGAGATCACTGTTACTTTCCATCTCCATCCTGCTGCATACATAAAGAGGTTAAGGCTGGAATAACCCAAAGTTCATTCCTTTGGAAACGTCTCTGCTAATTGCCTACAATATTCTTTCCAGTGGCCCTTTAAAACAGACAGATATAAAGATAATGGTTGCTTATTCCTCATCCTTTTCTCTGCCTGCTTTTCTCTATTTTATCTGTCAGTTAACCATTTTGTTCTAGGCTAAGGTCTAATAAATAAATGCATTGAGTGGGATATGACTTTGCTCTGATCTTAATACTGGCTTTGACAGGAATATGTTGGGGAGAGACTAAACTGGAAATTAACCACAGGTAATTTGTCAAATGCTAATTTTTAATTTTTGTGCATTATTTCCTGCAGCAGAAATAATCAGTTCGAATGGGAATTCAAGTAACTCTAGCTGAGTATAAATTTAATTAATGCCATTGTATTTCAGGGAAAATTCCAGTCATAATTATGAATAATTGAAAATGTAATCCTGCATGCTCAGCATCTAACTTTAAGTAGAAATTATAACCACGTTAGCTTGTTAAACACAATCATAAAGGACAAAATAGCCAAGATGAGACGCTAACATTTAAAAGATACAGATAACTAATTTCCAGGAAGCCTACCTACAATTTTTTTTAAAAAGAGTCAGATCCTTTTAATAATCATGTAGATGAAATGCCACTTTATAAATGACTTCATCATTAAATTCAGCTGGAGACACACACTTATCAAGTCTGTGATTCATGTGTACCATATAAATAGTTTCATAACAACATTTCCAACAAGAGCACAAAAGTAAATAAAATAAGAATGATTAAATATGATCAAGAACAGAATTCAACCATCTCTGGCTTTCAGTGGGGAATTCTGGTAAATTGATATCTCCATAGGAATGGAGAGACATCATGGCCAAGAATACTGATTAGAGGACTGAAATCTTCTTGTATCAAGGGAGATCGTGAGATAACCCTCAAACTTTTTCAGATTACACAAATAAATAACAGCCTTTAAGGATTTAAAAATAAAAAAAATTTTTTTTTTTTGCAAAAAGTTTAACAAAAACAAGATATAAGAAAGTTTAAAAACAGATATAGAGGAACAGTTAATTTCCTCTTTTTTTTCTTTTTACTATTTTCATTCTTGACAAAAGTACTTTGGCATAAATTTGAAGTAAGCTAGTCAAAGAAACTAGCCTAATCTGGTATCTTTACTAATCTCTTAAAACAGAGATTTTGCCAAAGACTTTTTCAGATTATTGTGAGGGAAATCTAGGGAGGGAAAGGAAATCTAGATCTTTTAGATCAGGGCTGTCAAACTCACGGCCTGTGGGCCAGATGCGTCATGTGCTGGCCACACCCATGCCTGGTTTAGCAAAGTGGGAAAAAGTCCTGATACGCCACGTGATGCTGCCATGATGATGTGAATTTGACACCCCTGTTTTAGATGGAGATTAAATGAAGCAATGGAAAGAAGCAATTGTTGAAGACTGCAAAAACAAATTAAGAGGTTTTTTTTTTTAAAAAAAAAAATAATTTAAATAAAGGCATGAATATAATAATGGTTTGGGATGCAAGTAAAAGCTTTATTAAAAGTTACCTGATCAACATAATCCTGAATCTAAGAGGAAGAGGCAAGAGTAAATACAAAATATTTTGGATTAAAATGGAAAGAAGAATTATTAAAGCACTCCCCATGGAATACAAGCATCTCTCAATAAATTAAGATTTTTCAGCAACAGTGATCCTATGTGAGCAATAAAAGAATTAGAAATAAAATTGAACTTAGCAAAGAAAAAAGAATTTGCAAACAAATTCTGGGGAAAGGGTTGGCTTATAAAGTAAATTGTGAAAAGAAAGAGAAAAGGAACCAATATTGAAATTACAAAAGGGAGCTACTATATTAATGGATAACATGGTTATATTAAAAAAAAATAGCAGTAGTATTCTAATTTGCATGAAAGACACAATATAGGTCTAGGAAGAGAGACTTCTCTGCTGCTGCTGCTGCCATCCTGCCTCCAGAGGTGAAGAAAACCCCCAGTCTTATGGCCTTCTGCAAAGGTCTTAAAATTTGGCTCTGTGGCCTTGTGTGGAGGGCACAGAAGACCAGGACACCGCTGGGCTGGCTGGTGAGGGCCCTCCCACCTTTATGATCTGATGTTAAATGACCATCTTAGGGTTTTCCCCCTTTTGATGTTTGTCATTATTCGATAATTTTTAAAAATGTTAACTCTAATTTAATTTTTAATTTTAATTCATTGTTTTATTGATTGGTTATATTATATTGGGCACCCCCAGAGATGAGGAAGATGGGTGGTTTAGAAATGTGAAGTATAAATAAATAAATAAGTATGTAGATAAGTACATAAATAATTCATTTGAGAATAGCAATTAGTACAGTATATTAGAAAACAAAATTTACCAAGGATTACAGAATAACAAAGGCAAATTATGAAGGGACATATAACAATAAGGAAAGTTCTGGAAACCATATAAAAAGGGTAAACCAGGAAAGATGTCTGGACCAAATAGACTCTCAAGTTTGAGATATAACTGCTTGAGGATGAACTGCCTCTCTCTTGTTTATTTTAGATCTTGAAGTGCTGAAAAGAAACTTAAGGCAAGACCTGAGGATTGTGAGTGTAAAGATTTTAAAAAGCGACACATAAATTAAGAGATTTTGTAGGTGATTTGGTGTTGGTTCTGGAAGATCCTTTAAAGAGAATTGAATGAATAATGGGTAAATGAAAAGAATTTGATACATTAGCAGGTTTCAAGATTAACAAACAAAAGACAAAGATGGTAGCAAAAATATGAAAATACAAGATGATACATCTTTATTTATTAATTAAATTTTGTTTATTTATTTATTACATTTTTTGCCACCCATCTTGCCTGCAAAGTGAACCTGGGTAGCTTAATAATTGATGAATAAAATGGGTTTTTAGATTGAGAAGAAGGTATATTTGGGTATCACAATTATGAACCATGTACTGTTTCAAAATAATTATGTTAAGATGTGGAAAGAAGTAAAAAAAAGATACAGTAAGATTAATCAAAGTACTATTATCATTGTTGGGGAAAATTTCTGTGATTAAGTTGGATGTGTTAAGGAAAATTTTATCTTTGTTTCAGACAATAGCTGAATTGTCTGAAACAGGGTTTTCACAAATGATGGGCCATTTAAACAATAGCAGAAAGATATACTGCACATATATTTGTATGGCAGGACAAAAAAACCACAAATTAAACATAAGGTATTACAAGATGGAGAGTTAAAAAGAGGATTGGGTCTATCTGATTTAAAACTGAAGATGATGGAACTCAAGAGATGGTTAGACTGACTTTTTCGATTACAGAAAAGGCAATACCTACAACTGAGAACTGTCTGGAAATTCCTTATAGACTTTTTGCTTGAAACAAAAAAAAATGAACTCATGATTCATGGTTTCGATAATTAGAAAAAAAATCTAGTTAATAAAAAATGAGATTTTTGTAACCACAAAGTAAGAAATAATTTTAATTGTACTTGTATTTCCTGCAATGAAACTTAGAAGCTTCTTCTTTCTATTTCTTCTTATCTTTTCTTTTGCATTTTTGTCTTCTTTTTCTCTTCACTCCTCTCACTCTTTTATTTTGTATTTGTTTTTATCTTCTTTTAAACACACACACACACACACACACACACACACACACACACTGCAAGCATCTGTTTTACAGCTAAAAAAAATCCTTGGTTCAGAATGCATTCACATAATTGCAATCCTACAGATGGCTACTTAACAGTATGTCCCCTCACAGCCAAAGTACTCATTCATGGGATTACCGATCTGATAATGCACAGAATTTTAATCACAGTTTTGGTCAATACATTAGTTTATATTGTTGTGTAATACCACTTACCATACCGATAGCAGGATCAGGCCAAATTTCTTCACAGATCCGCCATATGGATTCAACCACAGATTAAATGATAATCTCCAGCAGAGTGTTTTGTTCAGAAGTACATAGTCTGAAATTAGAAGAGATTTTTTTTAATTGTTTTACAAGACAACAATATTAAAACTTTAGAACAGTGTTTATTTTGAGAAGTCCTTTTCAAAACAGTATGTAGGGAGCTTATACTGAAGTTACATTTGGGTTTTTTATTCCATTCACACAGGCGATAATGTTGATTACCCCTAAAGGGCTTCAGAATCTAGAGAAGAAACAAGAAATAATAAACCAAAGATGAAAAGCCTGAGAAAAAAAGATAACCAAACCAAACCCAAAAATAGTCAGGACAAGGGATGACAGATGGAGCAAAACCAAAAAGATGGGACTGAGGCTGAAACCCTTTTGGTTGCCTCTGTGTTTTGCTAATATTGTAGAATTAAAATTGAAATACAAATACAGTATAGTGCATATACCATTTTAATGATTTTAATGCATAGGCAATGGAATGTAAATCCGCTATAGTAGAAGGCACTGAGTGACACAAAGTTCTTCTTATGAATTTGGACATCTGATCCTGCATTATCTGATTTTCTCTGAATGCTTTAAAAATGGTGTTTTCTATCTGACCTATATCAGAGTCTGAATCTACACAGCCAATCAACTGATGGATTACAGCAGACTCTCCTACTTCAAGAACAAAACATATCATTAATTGGGTAAAACTGAATGTGAACCAACTGGTTTTTGGCTGAAATTTGTCACCAATGTATGCATTTTCTATGGAGAATTTTTAGCTATCTGTACTATAGGATCCATGAGCAACCGCTTGTAGTAGACCTTTAATTTAATAATATTTGTTCCTTTGGAGTTTTTGGAATTTTTGTCTATCTTTGTTGCAAAATATTATCAGAGTTTTACATGATTCCTACTGCTATACAAAGGCAGCATAGATATTTCCATTTGTAATAGCAGATGTCAGCATTCCAGGTAACAACTTCCAAAGAAAAAGACTCAGAGAATTCCATCTTCTCAAAAGACAGCAGACACTTCTTGAAACTGGTGTGCAGTTTCTTATATTCTATATAAGAATTTGGTCCACTATTCCATGGAGATCTGCTTCAACTAAGATTTTCCAGAATAAATAAATTTGAACCAGTTTGGTATAATGGTGGTGCTGGTCTACAAACTAGGAGGCTGTGGCAGTGAATTCAGCTGTTCATATTCTCTTAGCCCAACCCACCTCACAGTGTTGTTGCTATGGGAAAAACAAAAGGTGAGAACATTAGATAAAGTACTTATGTAGCCTTCAGTCAATGAGATAGATGTTCTGACCCAAGCCCTGTTCAAATTAAACAAACACAAACTGTGTATAAAGCAAACCTTTTTTAATGCAGCACTGGGAATTCTTTGCATTCCCAGCCAAGAGTCATTTAAACCGAATTGTCTGAGATAAAAGCAAGCCCTTTGAAGGTTGCAAAAGGCTGCCAAGAACAGAAGTCTAATTACTGATAAATATCAACTGACAGAAGTTTCAAAAACAAACTGGAGTTCGCAGGGCTTCAACGAGGACTCAGAGTCTAAAGAACTTCTTTGCTTCCTGCAAAGAGCACATCCCCGACGGCTCGTTTTTATCCCTTATGGGAGGGGCCATCACCTTCCAGCCTTACTCCTGAGTCGCCCTTGCTGATTCAGCTGCTCTCTCCTTCGAGCAGCCCTGCACACACATGCACTGGGCACAGGCTCCCCGGGGTCCTCTGCTTCACTGCTGCCAGACTCCAAAAGCTCCAAAGGCAGCACCCCACTCTCCGATAGTCCTGGCCTCAACCCTGCATCAGATGCAGGACCCTTGTCCAAGTCCTCGCCAGGCTCCCTGAAGTTCCCTTTCATCCTCTCTGTCAGAGACCTCTGCCGTCTGCACCTGCTGCCAGCGAACCACAACAATAGATGATAGATGTATATACAGATAGAGAAGATAGACATCTAACAAAAGCAGCAAATAATAATAGTAGTAAGTGGAGCACCCAGTTAGCTGCTGCAAAATCATACAGCTTGATCACAAACAACAAAGTAGCAACAATGGGGCATTGGAATATCTGCAAGAAATACCTGCAAACAAGAACCGCATGGGACCGTGAAACAGACAAAGTAATAGAAAATGAAGAAGCCACAATGGGTGCTTTAGAATTCAAAAAGACAGGCACCTGCCACATAACACATCAGACTTAACAATTGTCAATAAAGACAAAACAGTCTTGCGAAGACATCGTTAATATCTGGAGACAGCAGAACACAAGGAAAAGAACTGGAGACAATCACAAAATATAAAGACCTGCAAATACAAGTGGAAGAACTGTGGCAAAAGAAAGCGAAGTATTACTATTGCTATTACCAACCAGTATTAATAGGTGCCTTGGATGCAATTCCAAAACATCTCGAGCACCACTTGAAGAGCATCGGCGCTGACAAAATCACCACCAGTAAATTGCAAAAGACAGTTTTACTTGAAATAGCTTACATCCTGAGATGATAACTTTAATATTATTAAACAACATCAGCCTATCCGGGATCTTTGGACCCAATCCAGTCAAAACATCTGGCTGACTGTGGCTGACCAAAAATAATAATAACTGTTCAGGAACTGACACACTATTTTTGTAGGGTTTGGTTCTGGGTTCTGACTTGGCTATTCCAAACTTCTGAATTTCTTCTTGGTGTTTCCTTTAAGGAGATAAAGTTGTTCAGGTCCTAAAACAGCAAATCATCTCCAAGGCATAATATTATCCCTGACAGTGGATTTTCTATTGTGGAATCTCTTGCTTGGTTTTCCCTGGACATAAGGACACGATATAGCCCCAATATATTGTCTATGTATAGAATATTTCCCCAAATTCTGATGGACCATCCAGTTGCTTTCCCAATTGCTTGAGATGAACATCAGTTTTCTTGATAGCGATCCATGATTTTTGCCTTGCCATTTTCTTTGGATTTCCATTTTTATCCAATGCTTTAATGTCGATATAGCCAAGGCAAAAGAGGACTGCAGTTCTATGGCTGTCTGTGTGGATGGGTGAAGCTGCAGAAGTTTAGAAAATGTTTTATAACCCCTTCCAGACTGAAAGACATCAATGACTATTTAACAGAGGTCTCTGGAAATTTATTTTGAGTAAGGAATATGGGTAGTGAGAACACTCTGATGAGGAGTATCCAGGTTTGTTGGATTTATATACAGCAGGGCTGACTCAAATCAGCCATCTTTAATACTGTTTCTACTTACTCCTGTAATTGAATTGATTGAGAGGGGATTGATTTTACAGACTGGTACATCACCTATTGGATGGTTTTCTGATGAATCAAATGAAACAAGGACAAAATGTAGCCATTATTTGTTCACCCAGCCTCCCTTTATTTATCTGCAGGATCTGTGTGAGGCTGAGGTAATATTCAGGAGCAAAGAGATGCAGAAATATGCAGATTTTTTTTTAAAAAGGCCAAATACTATTCCATTCTGCTACCTCAGCAAATGGAAGATACTGATGAAGCAGAATATCGTATTCTGATTTTTCATGAAGCATTGATGGAGGCATCATAGCATTTATTTCAGCAACAACCAAGAAACCAGCAGTTCCAGATGTTTCCCCTATACTGAATGCTATTTACCTGAGATATTCGCCCCTACCCACCAGGAATTCTCTGAATACAATATTGCATATCAATTTTTCAGATGCATTGAATATTAATTAGGAACCCATCTTGGTACTTTTATCTTTCCTGAAATGAACGATGTAGGAATTCATCTCTGGCTACTTTCCAACCTACAGCTAAATTAAATCACTTTCTCATCACCAACCAGGATTTTATGTCCTAACAGAATTTCTCCTTTTCTGCCTGAGAGAGATGTACAAGTAGTGTTTGAAAATGATCTCACTCTATATGTGAGATGCATTTAAGATTGTATTAAGAGTCAAATGAAAGAAGACAATGACTAGAAATACAGTTAACTTTAATTAAAATTAAAATCCAATAAAATGGCAATCAGGAAAAAAAAAACATACTTTCTCCCCCCCCCCCGCCCCCCCAAAGTCAAAATTCATCCTGAACAACTCAAGGCCCGCAGGCCAGATCTGGCTCCTGGGTGCTTAGATCTGGCCCACGGGGCCACCCTGGAAACAGTAAAGGACCGGCCCATGGTGCCTCCTGCAGCCCTCTACCAGCGAAAATGGAGCTCAGGGGGGCTCTGCACAGTGGTGTAGCTGAAAAAGGAGCTCAGGAGCCTGTTTTTGCTGGCAGAGCCCTTGGCCACCACAGGTGCACCTGAGAAGAGTAACATAAAGGTGGCCGTGCCCATTCTGGCCACACACCCTTCCTCCCAAGGTCAAACACAACCCTGATGCAGCCCTCAGTGAAATCGAGTTTGACACTCCTGAGTTAGAGGGGTATGAAAATTGGCTATAGATCTAGAGATCACATGTGAGAATGTCTATCATCCTCATCCTCCTCATCCTCATATCATCATCGTCATAGATGAAGGATAAGGATGAAAAAGGCCCAGTGAATGGTTTAAAATTAATGGGCTTTGTGAAAAACCTGAGGAGAAAAGGAGAGAACTGATTTGTATCTAATGGATTTCAATTTTCTTTTTTTCAGGAGTAAGCCGCCGGAGAAACTAGATGAATCAATGCTATTAATATGTGTGTGTGTGTGTGTGTGTGGTGGTGGTGGAAATGTAAGATTCAGGTAGTCCAATGGCTTTTCTAAGTCTGTTTCTAAAAAGCAAAGAATTGGCCACACATACCTATATGGGATTTTAGTGGAATTATGCACAGGGCCAGATATTTTGCTGAGATCTCAGCTGATCCTTTGCAATTCCAAGTATTTACAGCCCTCCCGGCCCAGCTTGCTCTGCAACAATTTCTTTAGTTAAAAATTGATATTATTAATTGAACAAGTTCTAATTTATAGTACTTTTAAAATATGAATTTTTAAGGCTCTAGATGAGACAATTAAAAGTTTAGAAGGCTATCTGGATTATGTTGATTGAAATCCCCAATGAGCTCAGTATCATACAACATTCTTTAG